CGTAGAAGACATCGGCATAGTCGGCGCGGATGATGCGCGAGACGTCGACACTGGAGCCATCGGGCACCGGGGCCAGATGCCGGTCCAAGACGGTGATGTTGGTGTAACCCCGACGCGTCAATTCCAGGGCTGTGGACAGACCGAAGACGCCTGCGCCGACAATCACAATCGCGGCCGATTTGGAAGGGGGGATAGCCATTTTTCCGGATAGAATGGGAGAATGATCAGCTGTGCTTGTCTCTGAAGGCGAAGATCATCCAGGAAGGGCAGTGTATTATATAGACAGCCTGGAGGGCGTGGCATGTTGCCAGAAAGGGGAGAATTTTTCAGGTCCGAAGGTCGGCCACATCGAAAGCTTGGCGGGAGGAGTGGGCACGGCATTATTATTATCAGTGCAATCCGTCCCCACTCCTACACCGGCCCGGCTGGGAAGAATGCGGAGGGGCTCCATTCTGTACGTAAACAAAATAAAATAATATGCTTACAACTCCCCGTGGCAGTCGGAAGGCAGCTGCGATGGACCCTGGCCGAAGTATGGTACATCAAGCAGACTGAAAAAATCGCTGTTCATCCACTCCGACGACGAAGCCAGCACTTCATCCTCGCCTCCCAGTGAGGCCCGGTTCGGTGGGGACTCGCGCAACGGCACCAGGTATTGCGTGGCGATCTGCTGGCCACCAGGCACAAATGCTAGATGGGACTCCTCCACACTGCTATGAGGTGAGTTCGGGTCCAGCAAATCCCACATCGTCGACCATTTGAAAGGCGGAATGCCACTCGCGCCAGTGCTGTGTCCCGACAGACTTTGCAGATACGCAAGCTTGTCTACCTATTCAACTCAATTAAAATAAAAAAAGATAAAAAAAAATCAAGAAACGGATAAGAAATCTCACCATTCCAGCAATGTGTGGCCATCGGGTCGCTAGATCTGTCAGAAAGCGTTGGCATTGCTCGAAATCCTCCCGTGCCCGGTCGGCGATGGCTTTCTCACTCGCAAACTGGAACATCCAGTGGATAGACGCAGCGGTCGCCACAAGTTGAGCCAGAAACGGGTCGTTGATCTCAATCCCATGCTTCTCCCACGTTCGGATCAAGCGCGTGGGCCAACCCGAGTGAAGCAGGGCTTGGTCTATGGTTTGTTGGAGGAAGGATGGCGGTTGGAACTTGGACGATGCACGTCGCACATGAGTGACATGGAACAGAGGATGATGCAAGAGGGCTTGGCCCGCGTGGAATGCCACCTGCAAATAAAGCCAGGCCGTCCAGTACTCCTTGTGCTGCAGCAGTTCGCTGGAGGTGATGGTGTGGAAGCCGACGTTCCGATATCGGTGCAGCTGCGAGATCCCCGTCTCGAACTCGTAATACTGCGCAACCAGCGTGTGATGGCGCGAGGCGGCGATCCAGGGGTCATCGGTTGGATTAGCCAGGCGCTGTCGCAGGTACCCCAGAACTTCATACCACAGCCCAGTCACTTGGAGGCAGTATGCCTGTATTCCCAGGTCGGCAGCACTGCTGGCAAAGGCATTAGGCACAGAGCCGTCGTCGTTCGCCATGAGCGAGCGGGGCCGTGGGGGGCTGACAGGATACCCTACTCGTCCCAGCGGATAGCTGTCGATGTGCAAGAGACTCGGGCCGGGGGCGAAGACTCTCTCAAGAATAAACACACTCCAGCAACATCGCCTCTGATCATCTCGCGTCGACGCATATTCTGTAGCAGACCCTGCGCCGGCGGGGGACACACAAAGGACCAATCTAGCCGCGATCCCAGCATCCATCCAGACTCGTGCGTGTCGGCCAGCTAAGGAAGTCAGCATGGCTCGTTAGTTCAGGTCACATAGAGGACCTCACCAGCAACATCGCTCAAGGTCATAAGGCATAATGCTTGCAATACTGGCACCGATGGGGTGCCTTCCGCAGCCAGTTGAATGACGGTGGGACGAGCGGAGCGGAAGTACAGCTCGATGGCTTGCGCTTTTGCGTCACCGTAGAAAGGTAGCTCCACGAAAAGCAAGGTGAGCGCCAAGAAAGCTTGCAGGAGGAACTCGGGATAGTGTCGGATCTGAGCGGAGAGTCTCTCTTTGTCGAAGAGAGGAAGCGGTTGGCTATGTACCCTCTCTATGTACACGTTCACTAGCTGAGCCAGGGCTTCTGGTGGTGGATACAGGCTGTTCCGAGAATTGAATTGGGTTTCAGAATGCGAAGTAGAAGAATCAAGGGGAACCAATTAGACGTACCATCGGGATGGGTCGAAAGACTGGGCCTGTGAGATACCGGGGGTAGACGCTGAGGTTTCCGTTTGGCTCTGCAAGATCCTGTGCAGAAATGGTTGAGCCTGTGGGGAAGGCATGGCGTCTTGTGGTGCACGATCCGTCAGGGTCCTGTTTCCACATGGTCAGTTTAGCCAGGCAGGCGAAGAGACTCGAGCCAATCACGTACTGAAAGAATCCATCGATGCGTTCCAGACGCGATTCTAGCCGTCGAAGCCGCTCCCGCGTCTCTTGTCGGGACTGTAGCATGTAGAATATCAGAGTCTATTAGATAGTGTCAAGGGAGACGCTTACCTCGGACGAACGAGTGGGTGGGTCACTACTCCGCCCGTACGTGCATCTCTGATTCAAACGTCGACAGAAGGAACATATTGGTCTTTCGCCAGGACATTTGGTCTTCTTCTTCCTACCGATACCGGGGGGTGAGTTATGAATGAGGTCATCCCAATGGAAGTGCCGGGAGTCTTACCGACAAGGTTCACAAGCCTGCCGGGCGCGTGGCTCAGGAGTGAGGAGAGGACTAGCCATAACTGTGGCGGTGATGAAGAAAAATCAAGGGCTAGAAGGGGAATGTCTTGTGAACAGGAGAAAGGATTGTGCTGGAATGAAACTTCGCCTGCCCAGTAGTCCAGACTACCTTAAGGTACACCTGCCCTTGTGAAGCATGGGGGATTGCGACAGCCAATGGCAGGAGGGACCGTCTTCCGCTCATGTGACAACTCCTAATCAGAGAATTTGAGTCCCGCTCACGTGCCCGGCTGACCGTCCGGTGGCCAGAGCTACTATCGATATGCCATCAAGAGGGACAAAAAAGCAATTTGGTCGACGAAGGTGGGAGGGATCATGTGGATTGGGAAACAATTTACTAGCATTGAGGCAGGTTTTGGTCAAAAAGCGGAGGATCAAGAAGGAGAGTGCGGGTGCCCCAGGCCAAAACAAGCATAAAAAAGGACGTCCTAGGAGAGGATCGAACTCTCAACCTCACGATTAACAGTCGTACGCGCTAACCAATTGCGCCACCAAGACGTGCTTGTGTCATGATCACTCAAATCAAGAAATATATCCCAAAAGCTATGTGGTGTAATCATTCCCCCCTCATACTTCTAAGGCTGTTGTCAGTTCACCGTGCAACAGGCAATTCTACCTAAGCCATAATATTCAAATTGACAATGCCATTGCTCCCGCGGTCCTAAAAAGTAGGTAACGAGGGTACAATACCACTCAAATCTCCCTTCCCTTCTTCGGACAGGATTGTTTGTGGTGATGTGCGATTTCTTCTCGAAATATATTCACAAGCATCCAGTTGCCAGCTCCTGACATCGCCCATAATTCCAACCACTGCACACATTACTAAACCCGGAAGTAAGTCACCAGATGAGCGCTTGACTTCTTAGTCCGCATTCGAATTTGAAATGGGTCAAACCAGCATAAGGTACATGTCACGAGCCTGGTTCTATACAAAGCCTCTTGCAATTTGGAGCCCAGTATGCATCTTCTTTCAACTAGCAGTCTACAAAAGACAATACACATCTGTCATTTGTTTGTTGGGGCAGAGCCACAGAGACCGACTCTGCCTACTGTGCACTCCGCATTGCTAACACGACTGGTGTATATGCATGTCAACTTCAACTCAAACTCCGACGAACGGCGTTATCACGAGGTCCACAGAAGCCCATGCATCGATGTAACGACACGACAAGAATCCCAGAGAAGCATGATTGTCCTCGACAAACATCCCAAAGTCAAGCTGAGGACAACAAAGCATCAAGGACAGGACTGCCAAACCGTCGTGTGATCATTCTGAGTCTCAGCTGCGTTCAGCCTGATTCAGGTGCTCTCTAGCTGATTCAAAGGCAGTCGCTGGAGGGAATTTCCGACCGATATGAATATAAGGCAGACTCTCATCAGCCATGAGGTAGTGTCATTGAGATCACGCACAGGTGCCACAACGACACAAATTACCACTTATTACCATCTCACACTACCCCACGCACACTATCGCCCAGAATGAAGATGTCCCCCGTCTCAATCAGCTTCATCATCCTCGCTGCCATGGGTGTGGCTGCTACCCCGCTCAATCATGCTGAATCAGTCGGCGTGAGAAGCGAGAACAACGTTCAGGTCAAATACGATGGAGTCAGTATTCCACAGCTTAGTCGCGAGCGAAACAAAGATCAAGACTGATTCGTTGACTCCGGCGTAGCAATGCCGGAAGAGTGAAAATCAATGCCGGTACACCGCGCAAAGTGGAAGGACTGCTATCTGCAAGTGCCAATTCCGAAAGGTGAGCCCAGCTCGTCCAAGCTCGGTAGTATCTGTTGACTGAGTCCCTTGTAGTGCAGTAAGGACGGCGCCAAGTGCAATTTCGACTCCTACAATAGGGATTGCAACTGCTACCAGTGGTTTGCGCATGGCTGGCTTTGGGCGAAGTTAATGTGTGTCCTGTGGAGCCGTACGGGGTCGCGACGTCGGACTTCTCAGTTAGTGGGAGGGATGGAAATCACAGATTGTTGCTACTAATTATCTGCTGTCGGACATTTCTGTTCTTTCTCTTAGTCTAAAGAAACGAGGGTTTTAACTTCCACCGAAGGTAATGGTAGTCGAGCTCAGAGCATGTAGACCGCAGTGATAGCTATACATTGACAATTGGTGCAGGCTGCGCTACACTTCCTCGACAGGCAGCGATAAGAAATAGGTACTCGCAATTCACCACGACACTACCGCTATTCATGATCAATCCTCTCCAAGCAGAGGCCTCTCAGGCTCATCCTCACGTGCCTCGATGTCTCCCTCTTCAACCGGCATCTCTGAAGCCCAGAACTCGGGCCACTTGACCCGGATAAAGTCGTCGGGTGTGGCCTTGTACGCTCGAGAAACGGGACTATCCCGATATTCGAGCGGGTGGAGCATCAGCTCCAGGGTGACCCAGGCCTCTTCGGCGAGTTTCGTCTCCTGGGCCTGTGTTGCCTGCTCGTGGATCTGATCCACTCTCTTGATCCAGAACAGCCATCGCCCTGCACTAAGGCCCGCGGGAGCCTTGCGACTGAGCTCCGTGGCCTGAAGATACAAGGGACCGCCACGGCCCAGCGATGAATCGCACTTATTCCACGACACATCACACAGGTTGATCATTCTCCGTCCACACTCAAAGATCCACGCGCGGATGGCGGGGAGAAAAGCGGCAATGGGCAGGTCGGACAGTGTCTGAGCAGGCCTGGAGGAGTCCGGTGCGGGATCGAGACCTCCCAGTGGACGGTCGGTCTCCAACGCCTCGCGGAAGGTCAACAGACCCACCTCGGTGAGTCGATCTTGCAGCACCCCGGTGGATGCGACTTTGGCCACAAAGTAGGTGAAGTTGAGTCGATGGTCGGCCTTCATCGTGGGAAAGTGCTGGATGAAGTATGCGGTCGTGTCCTCAAGGAAAAAGGGCTCATCGCGCCACAAGACCGTTCCTGTCGGGCTTTGAGCCACCTCGAACTCGTGGTCACTGTCCTGCACCAGTCGCTGTAACGGTCCGGACAGCTGAAACCGAGTGAAGTCCAAGACTATCCGATCGTGTTCCGGCGGCTCGTGGGAGATTTTACGCGCCCAGACATGGAATGCGAACCAGAGATCACGAATGGCTGTTTCCAGTTCCTGGAAGGACTCCCCTTGCCAGAATCTATCGGTGATACTGTAGTATCGATTGTAGACGGAGCCGCGCAGCTCCGCCAGATGCCCGCGTCGCACGTCTGCAAGCAGAGACTCGCGATACTCGATGGAGGCCTGAGCGCTCGAGTACTCGCTGTCATTTGGCTCGCTCGGGGGCTCCATTGGAGAATCAGACATGATACACAAGGATGTTCAAGAGGTCTGTAGGGCGGGGATTGTGCCTGATGGTTGCAGGTATAGCAGCTGAGCAACGCCGCTTCTATATAAATCCAGCACACACATCAAATATAGCTCTAGGCAGCCATGGATGGCCCGGCTCGTCAAAGGGTTTGGGACGAACAAAGGGCACTGAATTCACCGCCCTTCGGCCAAGTCATGGAGTTGAAATCCCCTGTAAAATCCTCCAACTCATATGGTGCCAAGCCAGGAGAGTGACATCGTCTCGTCCTTGGGTTCGTAGCTCATCCAGGCCGGTTGGCGAGGCTGGAGAGCAAACATTTGTCGGTGTGAGCGCTGAAACCCTGAAATAGATGGTCTTTGCTAGTGCATGGAGTTCAGCTAGGATATGATGCCAGGAGACCCGTGTAACTGGAGTGACAGCCAGCTGTGCTAACTTCTAACTATCTCATTCCCTCTCTTTGTTCCCTGGAGAGTTGACGAGAGAAGCCGGCAGATCCTCACCGCCTTTGGGTGCCTTCCTCGGCAATTTTCATTCTTCCGTGCCGGTGTAAACAAGCAAAAGAACTACTGTAGCCTTGAGAGTCTAGTTCTATCATGTTATGCACTAAGTACAGTCCCTACAAAGCCAGCCGCTGCTTCGACAACAAGATCGACGTGTCCGTCGTCGCCCCATCGATAAAATCGTTCATGATTACGATCGTCCGCTCCGCCTGCAGTCGCTCCAGCGCGTTCTCTCGAATCCACGGGAGGGTCCGCGTATCCAACGCGGCCTTGGTCGAGGTCAAACACGACGACACCGCGCCCGCCTCCACCACGCTATAGATCATCACCTCCTTGATGGACTGCGAGGTGGCCTGGCACTGCAGCACCGTCAGGTCACTGCTCTCCTGCCCCTCGGTGGTCATCCCCTCGAACCGCGCGAGAATCGAGTCCGCACTCAACGTCGCGTACGCTTCCGCCGTCCAGCTGTCGTACTTGTCCGCCTCGATCACACAAATCAGCCGCTTGCCAGTGCTCCGGAGCTCGTCGATCGGCTGGCTGAAACACTCGCGGCCGCCCCAGGTCAGCGGCTGCACGGCGGTCGTGGCACACGCATCGGTCAGCAGCTGCCCGATCTGCTCCTCGGTGGGCCGCTCGCAGTCGGCCACGATGTTGTCCCACCGGATATGGATGGTCACGATCTCGGTGGGATTCTCATCCAGGAACGCCACCTGCGCGCGGAGGAAGGCGTCGAAGGCCAGCCCCGGGATACACGCGTGCTGGAAGTAATACGTGTCTGGGAGGGAAGAGATCTTCTGGAAGATGGGCAGGAGCTTGGCCGGTCGGAACTCGAAGTATCGGGCGCCCATGTTCAGCATCACGGCGATCTCCTTCTTCTGAGTGATGGCCAGGCCGTAGACGATGTGCGGCAGCTTCTCCATGAGGAATCCGTCGGGGATGTGCCGGATGTGGGCGAGCATCGGCACGAGCTCCCGCACGGCTGCGAGCATGTCCCCGTCCAGATGCTGGAACACCGCGTCGCAGCTGTCCATGCTGTTCATGCCGTTGTCATGCGGGGCTGCGAGGGCGAAGCGGGAGAAGGGCTTCTGCGCCTCCATGGATCCGACCGGCGCCAGATCGCCCATCCACGCGCGGTTGTCCGTCGAGCAGATGGTCACGTAGCACTGATCCCGCTTCGTCAGGCCGACCTCCCCGCGCCCCGCGTTGTAGAAGCCGTACGTGATGATGGCATCCTCCAGCACGATGGGGTGGAAGTCCTGGGTGGACACCATCTCCCCACCGGTGAGCTTGCCCGTCAGGGTACTGATGTCATTGTAGGCGCTGGCGACGACTTCCCCGTAGCGGAAGACCTTCCATTCCAACCGACCGGTAAAGTTGTCCGCCCCGGGGATGTTGGCGGAGTCGAGTTCCAAGCGACGCGGGGTGAAATTCTGGGCCGACGTGTGTAGGACATCCTCTCCCGGGATGGAGAATCCCACCTCGTAGCCCTCGACGGCGGGGGAGATGTAGCTGTAGACTGAAATCCCTTTGCTTGGCATATTTGCTTATTTGGTGGCCCAGACCGGAAACGCAGGCGGCGATGATGCGAGCTGCATGATGGGTGATGGTTGGGAACTTGGGATACGTGGACACAACGCTCCAGCTCCACTTGTGCACCGAAACACTTATCCTGACCGGGCTTAATGAGGGTGAACTAAGGGGGGCTAAGGGGGGCTAGCATCGACTAGCATCGCCTGATCGAACTAACGCATTGCAGTGAAGATATTCCCACTCACTGTCATCCATGCGGGGTCAGGTGATTGGCTCTCCGGGTGGTCCGATTCAGGGCTGGATCAGCTCATCGATTGAGTCTACTCATCCTTCAAACAGCTCGATGATGGAAGATAGAAGATCAGATTGCGATTGTTCTCACTGTGATACATGCAAAGCCTACTTACTCACCCACCCACCCACTCACTATATGGATATTATCAGTTATATCGACGATTCAAATCAACTCACCCACTCCACAGGTCCCGCCCGACTACGTTCCCAGAATCGTAGATTCAAAAAACAGTCAACGCAAAAGAGAAAAAGACAACAAACCCCGAGAAACACACAACACCGGAGAACACCACCCATGCTTGTGTGGCACTACTTCTTCAGCTGCTCAGCAGCAGCCTGCGCAGCCTGTTGTGCCATGATGTCCACGTAGACATGGCCCAGAGGTCCTGCCTCTGGGCTCCATCCCCCATGCTCGACTCTGTACTTGTCATTTCCGTCCAGCACCTCGACGAGGTTGACCCAATTGCCCTGGCGGTTGTCCCAGTGCAGCTCGCAGATCTTGTCCTCGCCGTGGAAGAGGTCGAGGCGGCCCTCGCTGCCGCGGCGGCCGCGGGCACAGATCTCGCCGACGCCGTAGGAGGGGATACGGAGCTCGTCGACGTCATCTTCGGTCATGGCTTTGTTGGAGTCGGGGTCGTGGAAGTCTCCGCTGGAGCAGCGTTAGTTACGAATCCTGCTAGCTGCTACGAATAAGGAAAAAGCAAAGACGAACCCTTCGATGACGGTGTGACGGACGGAGATCTCTCCCTTGTCGAGGTGGTCCCGGATGTGGAACTGCACCCATTGGGAGTTGTACTTGTCCATGGTAGCCGAGTCCATGATGATGGTCAGTGTGTGTGAGTTGGTTGAAATACAGTTGGAGAGTGGTAGATTAGTTAGACGAAGGGTGAAGCCCTCGAAAGCTGTGAGGAGAGAGAGAAACGGACGTGGAGAGGGTGAGGGAAGAAAGAGGGTTATATAGGGTTGGGACATGGGAGAGGACGGGGAAGCCCGCAAATGCTGGCCCGGAACACTGGGAGGTGACGAGACATGGTTCTACCGTGGACGAGGCAGAGGACAAACAGCGAAACAGACGATGCGAAACAGGCGATCCCTCCCTGTGCTTCTTTGTGCCAGTGGGAGACAGGAATTAGCGGATCATATGACGGATGGTGGTGGTACGACCTGGTTGGTTCTTCTGTGGGCTGATCCTCGGATCCAGTCTGGCTTTGACTTTCAACGAGGCGAATCTGGGGGAGAAGCAGAGCGGCCTTTGTCGTGCCCTCTGCATTGAGTTTAGCAGTTGCGTGAAAATTGCGGGGTTACCGCATGGCTGCATGAAGATGGTCGCGTCATTCATTTATTCGACGTCCATTCATTGACTCTATTGATTGTTTGGATGCATCGCTTGCTTCCCTTCCCCTTCCCGTCTTCCCTCCCTCCCACCTCTCCCAGTATCTCCCCTCCCAGAGATCATCGTTGGGCCCTGGATGATTGATTGTTGGACACAATGTAACCATAATCTTGATAAAGTGCTACATGTTTTTCACGGCTTGGATGCTCAGTCGGAGCGCCTCACAGCTACGATGAGGGTGGTCTTTCGATCGTCCGTGGAGTATAAGGATACCTCCACCGCTGGAAGGGACTGCACGCCGGGGTCTCTCGCAGGTCGACGAGTAGGAAGAATGCAGGCTTCTGGAGGCTAGGAGCGAATCCAGCCCACTGGCCACGACACTCGTATCGCGGGCTTCAATGGCGCGTTTGCATGCATCGACCTGGCTAGATGCTGGCCGTCTTCACTCGCTCCCTGTCACATTGTTACACCTGCTTCACAGCGTTGTGGGATATCCACGAGTCTATCCACCCCCCTTTAGATGGCGAAGGAACAGTGCCATGCTTCTGTTCCCAGGAACATGGACGGGTGAGAGATGTCGGTTCACGTGGTGGTTGAAACCAGACCGTCGTGGTGTTTGACACCGACTGCTTGCTCGCGTGACTGAAAGTTCGATGAGACCATGGGGATAGGAGGCGGGGGGGGGGGGGGGGGGGGGCTTCAGTAGCCCGCATAAGCATGACGCGATGAAGTCTCCCATCAATGGCCAGTGGCCAGTGGCAACTTGTCTGGAAGATGGACCTTTTCTCGACGATCGGGGGGCCCACAGGACGAAAGCATTCGCCTATGGGGAAGGGTCCAGGCAGCCAAGATACTGACGGTGGCAGGTTAGTGGCCGATCGTTTCTCAGTTTCTCAGTTTCTCAGTTTCGCATTCCCCGGACAGAACGGGACCTTTGTTCCGGAGAGTGGCATTCCTACCCCGCATTCTGCGGGAAACATTGATGCATTCAGAGAGACAATAGTCTCCCTGTCAATGGACGAGTCACGAGGGAGTCATCGACCCTCCTGTCATGATCTCATCCTTCCCTGCTTATGTAACCGGCTTGGAGCTCCCCCCGCATTTCCACCTTTCCACCTCACCAATCTGGGGAAGCTATCGGCCTTTCGGTACATGGCACTGCCCTGGGCATAGACCATTGCCTACTAGGTCCAGTCACGTCGCTTCTCTTCCTGCCTACCTTGGTTATTCTTATCCCGCTGGCAACCTTCGCTCCCAGTGGGAGATACTAACCGCGCATCACGTAGCCGCACCCTCATTCTCCCCTCCAAGGTGCCTGAAATAG